TCTTTGAATTTGTTAAGTTAACTATAGTTTTAAAATTATAATTATTTCTAAATTTTGTTGTGATTTTCATCTAATCGTACGAACTGAAATGATAATTATTATTTTGACTGTCGATAATAATTGTCATTTCAGGTCTACTCATTTGTATTTTTATCTAAATATTGTTTGCAGCTTTTAGATATTTTTAGTTCCTCTTATCTAATATAGGGAATTTTTAGATTACCCAAGCGGTTGTATACCTAAATAGTGGCGATATTAGGCCTTAATTTTTTTAAGGTTATGTCTTGGTATAAAAAATCAAATGCTTGAAGGAAATATTGGAGCTTTCCGGAAATAATCACTCCACCTAGTGATAAGTTTCATGTTATATTTTTTCTGGGAATAATAATTTAATAATTGTAATTAAAATTATGGGTATATTGTATTGACGTTTTGATTTCCAGTTCGGAAATCGTTCCAAGCCAAGGGTGAGAGGTAAAGTTAGTATGGCTTTAAAGGAGGAGGACCAAGATATATGCTAAGGTTGCCCGATCGCTCATAAAAGGTTTCCTCGAGCCTCCTTTAACATGTAAGATCTTATTTTAAGAAAAATAATCGGCTTAACCGTTCAGTGAGTTACACAATTGTGCCAAGAAAAAGATCTTCCAGTAGTTCCAGTCCCCCGCTTGGTTTCATAAGTTTAAGATGTTAGAGATAGAAACCTCTTAATAACTATCTAAATGAATTGTTGTAGTAATACAGATAATTATAATTTTTATGTTGTAATACCTAGACCTAAACCTTAGAAAATTAATGCACGAATGACCTAGTGTATTTTTTATTATAGTAAAAGCTTTATTTTTGCTGAACTATTTATTGTTTTTCATTGTATGTGATCAAAGGAGGCGTTACATTCTAGCGTTTAGCTATTGTTATAGACGTAGATTAACGTATATGAGAAACTTACGATTTGTAACAATCATTTATCAAAATTAAACGGACAATAAACAAGAATATGATTGATATCAAGATATAAAAGTTTAATACTTATATGGAAGAACAAAGTCGGCTTGAAAGCTCAGCGGGTCAGCAGACTCATTTCAAAGTAAGTAGTTGACTAGGTTGATGGTTCGAGCCACATACCGGTCAGAGAAAATTTCCATCGCGCAGTATAAAATGCAACGTGGATGTTTGACTTTTGAATTTAGCTAACTCACCAGTCAATCGAGTCACCGTATAGATGAGTTATATTAGAAAGCATTTAAGAGATTTGAAAATCGGACAATACATAAAAGAACAAAGTGCTCTGTGTGCAGATGGAGTTATTTATAAATATAGTTTTATTAAGTCAGGACAAACACAGTGAGTATCCATTATAGAGACAATAATTTTTAACAAATTGACTGTTTAATTCCTCCTTTACTTTACTAAAATCTGAGTAACAAAGAGAACATCACAGATTCGTCTAAGAAATGACTTCTAAAGAAAAATCGCGAGTTTGATCATCACATGGCATCAGACTATTATATCCAAGAACATGACCAGTAAGAAATCTCTTAGAGCAAGTCTTTTATAAAGTTTAAATTTTTTTCCTTATCTTTCTTTTTTTTTCAGTTGTTAATTGTGTGTTTGATATGTAATTATCACTAGAAAATATTTCAATAGTTATAACTTATTTTATTCTAGCTTGATGTCTACTGAAAACGTCTCTACATGAATAGCTAATTTTTATTTTTAATAATGTACATATAACAGAACATTTAAAAATAATTAATCGATATTTTAGACGGTAAAAAATAGCTATTTGCAGTGATGTAATGTACTTAAGGTGGATTTACATGATTTACTTCCGGTGTACACCCGTTGATGGTTCTTCGATGGTGAAAAATGTAAATTGTACTATCATCCAAAGTGAACACCAAAAGTAAACAGTGAATGAAGTAGAATGCTTTCCTACTTTTAATGAACAATTTGGATGATTTATCAGAAATGACCAATCTAAACAAGTAATTTTTACGTCCGATGAAGAATAAACTGTGTAATTTGATTTATCATTCGCTTGTAAAGGTTTTAAATATATATTTCGACAATATAATATAAAATAATACAAACATTATCATTAAAGTTATATAATTCAATTTATACTATAAAAATTTAGATCATGTTCCATCGCCACTGCACAATTTCAATACTAACAAACGCACTCCTGAAGCAATTTTGTTGTGATTATTGCTACATTAAGATTTTGTCACATCCTGTAATCCAGTCTAAACGTGAATCAATCTACTTTAATTACAAAAAGGATTTTAGTATATTATTTACCATTCTTGATGCAAATATATTATCCCACACATATTCTGTAAATTTATGTGGGAACAATTGTAAGAGCTAATGATGCCCTTGTTTTCTCAAAATGGATGTTCAATGAAGCCTTGTAGCAAAATCTACTCCACTTTCCAGAAAATGGTGTTTTTGTTTAGACACTGCCTTTCCACTGAGACCTAATTTACTCAGACTTTATCAAAGCACCATGGAAAATTTTAGTGATTATGACAACAATAGTAAAAATATTTAATAGTACTGTGGATTCTTTTCAAGCAGCGATACAATGCACGCAGTGTTTGATGCATGTTGTAACGGTCTTGCAATAAAAGAGGAGAACATGCTGATTGAAAGGGCTCTCATCTGACAACAGAAACTGTAAGCTGTTATGACACAAGAACCTTTATCATAATAATTTTCACCAAATCGTATAGGAGACAGTGTTACATCCACTCTTAGTATCTACACAACGACACCATCACCTACACCCTACACCAAATTTTGCAGAACATCCTTCACAGGCTTCAATAAACTACAGTTCTGAAAGTTGTGGTCCTGCTTATCAAGGCAATCGGGATGGGTTAACCCAAACCATTTACAGCATGGGCGGATTATAATTTAAATGTTAATATAAATAGGTTACAAAAAAGTATTTTAATCATATGTAACAAATCAGTTATTTAATCTGATGTATTTAAAAGTTCTTACGGAAATAAAATCCAGAACATTGTAAATGGCTTTACAAACTTTAGGTATCATCACTGATACAAGGTTGTACTCTGTATATGGTCTTGAATACTAAAACAAGTACATGTAGTTAAGAAATGGAGTGTGATTAGAAGCTTCAGCTCTGGAGGCAATGCTTCCTTGAAGACAGTATTGGCCCTCTGTATTGTAGGGCGAAGAGCCACTGATACAAAATCAAACTGATCTTCAATCATTCTCGTATGTGTTCGGTATACCTGTACATCTTCTCCAGCTCATTCGATTAATAATTGCTTTGATGGTCCTAAATGTTCTTGGCGCTAAGTCAGTGGCCATACCCACCAACGACGAGACGTCGTGAATTTTTGGTTTTCAAAATTGTTGTACATTCTTCTATTCGGACTGATTATTTCTACTCCGACACTTACTTCTTGTTGATGGTTTGACTCCATTTTGAAAATTGATGATAATGAAAAATTGGACAAATGTAAATAGCGTTAGATTTCACTTTTACTAAAGATGAACTATTGATGAATTTTTATTCCGACACGTACTACTTGCTGATGGTTTGACATCATTTTAAAAATTAATAAAATGAATGAAAAATTGGACAAATGTAAATAGCTTTAGCTTTCACTTTCACTAAAGATGAATCATTCGCGGTGTATAACCGAAGTGAATAATGTAAATTCGCCTTTACTATACACGTATATATATATAATATATATATATATATATATATATATATATATATATATATATATAAACAAATTTAGATTTTATGAGTCATTAAACACTTCATACACTCGAATTAAGACAATGAATCAAACCAATCTTAATAAAATCCACTTTAATTGGATATTAATTGCGTCTAATCTTCAAGAAATAATTTAAGTGTTTCGTTAATTTAATTAATTGAACAAAAATAGTATGTATTATCTTTACCTTGCCACAGTAAAGGTCGATTCAAATACATCAGTCACGTCACAGTTCCGGCGCTAAACGAAACAATTCGCCATAAAAAATATTCTTTAATTTATGCCGCTGGCGGTCACATTCATCCATTGCCGAACAGTTTCCAAACAAACAAGTTTCGACCTGTCTAACGTCCGACCGATTTTGTAATCTCCGCGATAATATTTTTTGGTTTTGCCGGAAACATGTCGGGCGGTACAAGTGACCAAAAGATAATTAACGACGAGCAATTAATAAAATAGATGAGAAAGTATAATATTTAATATGATTTGTAGCATGCGAAATACTTGGAAATTAACATAAAACATACAATTTCGAAGGAAATCTGAGAAGAAATAGAAACACAAGGTAATGAACTTTTTTTATTATGTTTATTTCACTGTAACAAAAAAAAAACAACATGCAGTTTTTAAATTTTAAATTTTTTTAGCAATCATTCCTAATTTTTTATCCGAGAAACTTGCAAACTTTTTAACAGATTGGTCGCCAAAGAACGATGTATTCCGGGTGTGCACGAACCGACGAAACGAATAGTTTGGTGACGAGACGGTACCGGATCGGCGCCTGAACTGCGACGTGACTGAGGTGTTTAAATTGACCTTAGTCGCCACCTCTGCCTCTAGACAATTCGGTTATCTCCCCACACTGTACATCTCTAAAATAATATCTTCGATATAATCTTTGTTATATAATATCTTCATTATCATCGATGTAAAAGGTAGATAGTCACTTGGCATGAAACCAGGAAAATAAAAAGGATTGCTATTTTCATTTATATGAGTATTTATGATGATTGGTTATAGTCATTGTCCAGTAATTTAATGAAAAAGTATATTTTGCAGATTAAAAACGGGAATAAAAATTGTTTGATTCCTTCAAACTTACACTGAATCTCCACATTCTTTACTTGAAAAAGCATCATCATATTGATGTTGGTATCTCATAAAATCTAAAAGTTTTCTATAGTTATTGTTTTAAACAATTTTAACATGTTTCAATAATGTTTGGTATTTTAACAGGTCCAAGACGGATGTCAGAGCGCGACCTGCCATCTAGGGTAGATTCTGAACGTTCTATCCCCTCTTCCAAATCAGTTCCCGCCCTTCACCAAATCCATTCCCCCCTCGTTAATGATCAACAACCTTCAAGGCCAAATCAGGCTTCAGCTTCAGATGTATACAGTCGAACTTCCTCAAACAACAGCATCAACAATAATCAAAATGGACAAGTATTAATGAATGGAGGATCAGTGGCTGCCAATACAGCCTTGAGGAGTAGATCCACACACAATTTGCATCAACAAGATGGAGGGTTTTATCAGAACTTAAGTGTTTACAGGAATAAAATTCCCAGTCCTCAACAATTGGGAGATAGGTAAGATAACTAGCTAACTATTTACTAATAATTCTCAGTTAAAAATTATTTTGAAAAAGACATACATATATTTTTTTACACACTTATGACAAATGAATGAATGGAAAAGAAAAGTATTTTGGAAGTTTATAAAGTCATCCTCAGGGCTATAGTCAAATTTATAAATTACCACAACTAAAGAGGGATTCCATTTGCTTTACGAAGCTGCTTCAACTCCAGCCAGATGGTCTGATACTGGCGGCCCATGTTGGTCTTATTCTCATGTTTAACTTCGTTGTTTACTTGTCTCTCCCTAATTTAATCTTGTGGGCCAAATAGTTATAGGTATACACTTGTCCAGTTTGCGTACCAAACGTTGAAATATTTTTAGCCAGTACAAGGTGTAGATGTATATGTTATTATATTTCGAAGGATCTTTTACTCTAAACTAACTAATATTACTCAAATAGGAAATTTGGCTACTTAATCAGCCGTTTAGATCTTTGTATTAGTGGTTAGTATATTCCAAGCAGCTCTACAAAATAGAAAATACCTAATGATTTCATATCTTAGATAACATATATGTGTATTAGTAGTCCTAGTTTTGGCTATCTTTACAATTAAACCATATTTGATGATTATTTAGGTCTATAATCGCCGATTTATTTGTCTGATTACCGGTAAGTAGATCAAATCTTCGACGACCGTGCCAGTCTAAGACTGAGTCTAAGCTGATCAGTGCACCACGCAGGATATACTGGGTGGGTAGTGACACCCAGTCACACATAAAAACACGCGCTCGCACATATACTAAAATACATACACAAATGCACATACCCACATGCACCATGCTAAATCAACAAATTACGAGACAGCCGCACCACAACTGGGTGTAACACCATTGTGCCCATGGGTTCATGGCATAGGGAATTAATTACCTAAGCGATGCCCCAGAGAGCTGGCGAGCTATGAAGAATAGCTGTGGCATGGTATGGGCGTATTGTCGTACCTCACAGCATGTGTCGTACTTCACAGCATGTTCCAACTCATGTAAGCAAAATGGACAAAAGATAAAAAGACGTCACCCAAAAGAGGACTGAGAAATTAGTGACCTCACAGTTTTCAAAGGAAAGGAAATGAGCAGAGTGACAACCTCGGTCATCGTCTCTGCCACAAATTTGTCTCAATGACCCCAATCACGATCCAGAATACAGTCAATCCATTATCATAGTTAAGTAGCTTCTGCAGAACTTACTGCTACTATAAGAGGTTTCAATGTTGCCTTAATAGAAGACCAGGGCAACATTCTTATATTCTATGTTCTAATTTGAGTTGATAGAGAAAAAAAGTTTGTGTAACCTTCTGGCTAAGGTCTGGTGTTAGGGTTTTTAGGTGGGGCAAGAGCCCCTAACATGACTTAACGAATACTTTCGTAGCCGGGACCGACGGCTTTTTTGTTAAGTCAGTAACATAGCCACTGAGCTACGGCTACCGGTTGATAGAGAGCTTATATATAACTGATCTACAGTCCAGGGTATAATAGTGTTACTTGTATAATAGTCAATTCAACATGTATACTACGTTATTTGACTGCAGTATGACCTGCATCCAACAAACGGCTTCTAGTGAAAACAAAAAACTTCAGTGAGAAGACCTTCAGAATAAACCTCTCGTTAAAGTAGTTGTCTATGTTATAGGGTATAAATAAATACAAGTGACTATTCTAATGTATATGTTTATGGTGAAATAATTAACGATATACATATTTTCTTCTAGAACTTCAGCTCTTCGCAGCTCACAAAACTCACTTCACTCATCCATCGCCAACTCTCAGCGCCCTTCTTCGGCATATTATCCTCCAGCCTCCTCTATAACTTCCCGTCCTAACAACCTCCATCAGTCTATACCTAACCTCAAAAACCCACCTAATATGTACAGACTTCAAAATGAGGAAACTTCCAGAACAGGATCGTTCCCAAATGTCCAGTACAGTCCAAACTACTTCCCCGCGTATTCAAAAAATAGTTATCCCAGCCCTGAAGATACTAAGGTATCTTATAACAACACTTACATGGGGCAAAATCAGTCTTATCCGAGTCCCACAAGCAGTTCTACACAAGGTTATCCGAACACCGTTCAGCAACCTCTGCATGTTAACCATAACTTACGACAAGAAGAAAGAAATCAAGATGTAAGATACAACAATGGAGGTTTATTGCTACGAGAAGACGTTTTTAGACAGTCGCAAAATAGACACGAGGAGATGATGAGGTAAGTAACAACGTTAACACCTTATTAATTGAGCGCGTCAACCTCGTCTATAATAGACACTTTTTGGTCCTTGGTAATGTGACGGGTAATATATTACTTTACACGGAAGTCACCTTTTTACATTATCTCTTTTCACTCTATATAGAGATGACGTATTCTTTTATGCCTTTTATGCTGTCGAAAGAAATGTTGTTGATATTAATTTTATTATTATTAATTCTCGTAATAGTACATTATTTGTTGAATTTTCCACATTGGCCTATTTAGCCGGATTCGAACTCATTTTTTGAAAAAATATTTTTGTTATATAAAAATTCAAAATAATTTTAATGGCTGGTTTTGTCTAGTGTCGTATTTTTTATCGTGTGTGAGGGTTCCTAAGAAACCGGGTTGATTAATTTGCGTCTCTTGTCGAAAACTATTAAGTTGGAGGCTAGAGAATAATTTACGAGCTTTTAAAGTGGATATTTATGGGAGTTTTTAAAAAGGGATTATAGTCGTTTTAATAAAGTATTAAATTTCAAATCGGTAATTTTGGTGTTTTATACCATATTCTTGTACATTTTCGTTTGTATAATATTAATGGAATTTGTTAGAGATTTACAATGGAAAAATTAGAGGAGAATAAAAAACTCAATTTTTTAAGAAAAACAGCTTTAAACGACATTCAGGTAATTTTCGATTTAGGTTTTAAATCTTTAAGCGATGTATCCATCCGATCTTTATTTAAAATTAGAGTTGAAGAATTAGATTCAATTCGTGAAGAACTCTTAAAACATCACACAAGTATTATTGGTAATATTCGTTCTGTACCAGACGCGGATACAAGGGTTAAAGAAAATGTTCGGGAATTATTTTTGGAACAATTTTATAAAATAAAACTATTTAGTGCGGAATTATTTGAGCCACAATATGAAACTCCAGAACTCTTTAGATCGGTAGTAGTTCAACAATCTAATATTCTATTCAATAATCTAATATTCATTTGCCTAAAATAGAGCTGCTTAAATTTAAGGGTGATTTTAAGGAGTTTAGTTTATTTTTAGACTTATATAATTTGGTTTTACATAATAACTCAGGCCTAGCAGACGTAGAAAAGTTTAAGTATTTGAAAGGATTTTAAAAGGATGTTTAGAAGGACTCCACTCAGTTTGATTCGTAATTTGTCAATAAATAGCGATAATTATCAAATTTTTTACGATCTAATTGTTAAACGCTACACAAATGTTCGTCGTTGTGCGACCGCGCATTGGGATGCGATCATGGACGTACAGAAAGTATCGGTAGTTAATTCGAAACATCTGGCTAAATTAGTAGACATCTTTTAGAAAATTTAGTCGCATTGAAAACATTAGGTATTCCGACAGAACATTTAGACTTTATTATGTTTAATTTACTTTTGTCGAAACTAGACGCGGATTCATTAAAGTTGTTTATGTTAGAAAATAAATCGAATAAAATTCCGTCTTTTCAAAAATTGGTAGAGTGTATTGAAACTCAGTACATTGCTTACGATAATTTGAATAGTAGCTTAAGTGAATCTAAGAAATCGACGCGGGCCCCAACTTATACGGAGCCAAAGTGTAATTATAAACATTCTAATGAGTCAAGGCATAATCGTAGTTCATCCTTTGTTACAAATTCGTCGTCGATATGTTGTGCTTTATGTAAACAAAGTAATTTTCTAAACCAGCGCTCGTTGTTTTTGAAGAAATCTCCCAAAAGACAGATACCAATTTTGTAAAGAATCTTCCTCGTGCTTTAGGTTTCTTAACCAGGCTAATCATTCTGTCAAGTCGTTTCCAAAGGCCTTTAAATGTAGTACATCTAAGAATCACCTTCATAATAGTTTGTTGCACTTCGATAGAAATCGTTCCAATAGTCAGTCGTTCACAGAAAATACTAATAATCCAGGGGCATCGGGATGTAATACTAGCTGAAGACAAGACTGCTGTCACCCCTGTAACATCCTTGATTTAAACTCCAAAGGATGCCTATCTCTTTCCATATTTTCCGTACTAATGCGGTATGTCGATAGAGGATTGTGTCACAGGCACAATAATTTCTTACGGGGGGTGAACAGGGTTTAGAAACACTAAATAATATGTTAGGAGATGATGTGGTGTATTTGCAAACATTATCGAATGCACATTGGAACTGTAGTACGTTCCAACAAGGCAAGTAAGATTCTATTAGTTCGATGATGTAAGGAAATTGCTGATATGATATAGGGAATATAGCTGTCTCGTCTGAGAATCTGAAACCGTCGTCTACATTGTTGTACCAGGTGTTTCGGCTTTTGTCTGTCTTCTTTAGACGCCATTCTAGCGCTCTGATTCGGCGTTTTTCCTTCCTTCTTTCCGTGTTTATGAGGTGTTCTGGGGGGCGGTCTCCACGCGAGCGTCCTTGCACTGGGTGCCTTGCCTAATTTGTCTTTTTGAATTCGCAGGTCAATTTCCTGAAAATTCCTCTCTGCACATTTGCACAATACACTATAAGCTGGCATTGTACAACGGGAACAGCTTCCATTAACTATTTCTGTGGGAAATCAGTGTGTGGTATTTACCAACCTGTTGGTAACACCACCGATTATATGTTTGCCTTCTCATCATTCTGTGCTATTATTGTTGTCTCATTATTATTTCTTATTCTGTTGTATGTGTTCCATCCTTTCTTTTTCGTTTTGTGGAATATGCAGCAACATTTTCTTTCGGGCATATTGCCTAGTCTTTTCCTTATTCGTTCTTATCTTTTTGGTTGGTTGATGTCTCCCTGACTTCCTTTTCTTCTTCTCGGCGGTTTGTTAAGTGCAGTTCCTGGTCCCCATAATGGCAGTGTTGCCACTTTCATAGGGTCAACTCCTTCTTCTTACGTTTCTTCTTTTTCGAATTCTCCTATTTCTTCTTCTTCCTTCGTGGAGTAATCATTTGTTTCATTCTCGTAATATTTGTTTTACCTGTTGACGTGCACTACACGTCTATTTTTTCCCTTTTTTGTACCCACTGCATACGTTACTGGTCCGACTTTTTCGATAATTTCAAATGGTCCTATCCATTTTTTCTGTAACTTCTTTGAAAGACCTGTCGTGCTACTTAAGTCTCTCAAATATACCTTTTCTCCTTCTGCAAATTCCTAATTTATGTGTTTTTCACAGGTTTGTAGCTCCTATAAAACAGATTACTACACCTCGATTAGAATTGTTAGCTGCTGTTCATTTGGTAAAACTTATGTCGTTTGTGTTAGAGTCGTGAAAGCATATAATATTTTAGAATGTGTATGCTTAGTTAGATTCTCAAATTGTATTGCACTTGATTAAAAGCTCCCCCTTGAGATTCAAAACTTTCGTCATAAATCTTATTTCGTATATCCAGTCTCATAGTCAAAATTATTATTGGCATTATATCGAATCTCGAAATAATACAGCTGATGCGTCTTCGCAAAGCATGCTACCGGCCACTTTTCTATCAAAATTAGACTGGTTAACAGGTCCTTCGTTTTTGTATAATATTCCATTAATTTTCCCTCATTGCAGGAAACATCCTCTTTGGAAGCGATTAAGAAAGCTTTGGTATTTGTTTCCACTCGTGAGGAACATTTTTTGTCTTGTTTGCTGAAAAATAAATCGTCTTTTACTTCGATCCAAAGAATTTTGGCTATATTGCGATTCGCGCACAACTCTCGTTATAAAAGGTCAAAACGGTCAGGACCCTTGACTTTCGTATAATTAGAAGACTCGTTGATTATTCTTGTCAGATTTACACAGGAAGAGTATTTTGAAGAACATCTTCAATCAAATTGTTTTCCAAAACCATTTCGTAAATTAAGAGTATTTTCAGATGATAGTACTCAGTGTTTAAGAGTAGGTGGTCGTCTGTCTGAGTCTTCGTTATCGTATGAAGCAAAACACCCGTTTTTGTTACAAAAAAATCTCGCCTTACTACTCTTCTAGTTCGTCATTATCATGAGAAGTATTTACATGCTGGATTTAAGGGTACTCAATTTTTGGTTAGTCAAAGGTTTTGGATAATTTCATCTAAACAAGCCGTTAATTCAGTATTGTCCAAATATATTAGATGTTGGAAACAATCTCCTAAAAACTGACAACCCCCTATGGGTAATTTGCCTAAATTTCGTCTCGGCGCCATTAAACGCTTTTCGATTTGTAGGTTAGATTATGGTGGACCGTTTTCGATAACCATGTCTCGTTACACAGGGGAGTTAGAACTCAAAAGGTTTATTTGTGTCTATTTGTATGTTGTGCTACAAAGGCTTTACATCTTGAATTAGCTAGTTATTTGACCGCGGAAGCCTTTTTGGCCGCCTTACAACGTTTTTTCGCTCGGAGAGGTCAAGTACCGCAAGTATTTTGTGATAATGGCACTAATTTTCAGTGTTTCTCGACAGCTTAGTAGCTTTATGGAGAGTGCTCTCGATACGGAAAATATTAAGTTTTCATTTTCTCCTCGTGCTGCTTCCCATTTTGGCGGTATTTATGAACGCGGAATTCGTTCTGTAAAGGAACATATTGTTCGTATAGTCGGGGCACAACTTTTGACCTACGAAGAATTTTATACCGTTTTAACCTTAATTGAATCCGTTTTAAATTCACGCCCTCTCAACCCATTAACCAATTAATTACTATTTAACTGGGAATAAGCCACAATTAAACGTTCAAATACGTTTATTGACGTTTTTTAATTTCCACTTCGGAAATCGTTCTCAAAAAAAATCAAAGAAGCGGCTCTAATTATGCTAAAATGAGACCAATTGTGTCACAAATTCCTCAGCAGAATGTAGTAGGAACTGGTTACCCATATTATAAGAGGAATTAATAAAAAAATACCAGTATTAGTAAGTCAGTAACATATAGAGGATACATCATTTATGTTTTTTAGATAACAACCAAATGAAATCAGAGTTAGGTGTTTATTGAAGGTAAATAAATGCACGACCAAATACTTACCATGTCGGGATAGTATTATGAGGTTTTTTCCTGGTTC